AAAGAGCGTTGGGGACACCCTGGTCGGCTCACCCTGAGGAGGTGCAGGTGCCACGCCTGCTCTGTCGCGGTTGTTTTCGAGCTCTGCAGCGAGACAAGCCCAGCTCTCGCAGAGCTGCTATTCGAATGGAGAGGTCTCGGCAGGACCCCATTTGGGTACCCAAATGCTGTGCCTGCTGGGCCGTGGTGATCATGAATAATGGGGCATGTTGTTTAAAGAGGCTGCATCCAGAGGCGATTGCTTGCGGGGTGAAACTTGACATGTGGTTCTGGCAATTCGGTGTCAAGCCTATCCATGTTTTGATATTCGAGAGCGTGTATTAATATTAGTGGAGGGACCGAGGTACAACGCACCATGCATCCTTTCTCTGCTCGGACAGAGACCGCAGGTGGTGGAACGCCGTTAAAAGTGTTTCGGCAACACGTCGGGAGCATGTTGGTCTTTATCGGCACCCATGTCGCTAGCCAGTGGAAGATGCAATATTTCACCAGATTATTTGGAGCGCCGATTGTAGAAATAAATTCGAGCAGGTCCCCGGAAGAATGGGTGCAGGGGGTGATTGCTTTCGCGAAAGATATGTTCAGGGCTTGCGGCATGCCGAAGCTGGACAACGTTGATAGTATATTGAGCGCTTTACAGACGCAGCCGAAGACGCTGAAAGCGCAGGCGTTGGATATGTCAGCGAGGCCCACGCCGCCGAAGCTGGGTCGGGACACGCTGTGGGGATCAGGATGAGCCACACCTGGAGTTCGTGGTGGACAACCGGATTCTCGCAGCTATTGCCAGCGGTATCGCTCTGGTGAAGCACGAATTCTACAGGGCGCCGCTTCACCGAATCCGGACGCGACTGCATTACTTGTACAGCGCCCGCTTCGACTATAAGAAGGGTCCTCGACCCCGTGGACTGGAGACCGAGGAAGTACAATGCTGCTGCGGACCGCGTAGCGCGCAGCAGCAACTTTGATACTTTGGACATGCGCCGGCTACGGTCAGAAATGTCGCGAGCTGGCGGTGTACAACGTGTTCACAGACGGCGGCTTCGTGCATGGCGCCGGCGCTGGGGCTGCTGTTATCACCTTGGTATTCAAAGTCCTGGACGGCTTCGAGTCTGCTCTGCTCAGGGCGTGCTCGGCAAGTTTATGCCGTCTTTGCATTCGGCCTTTCATGCGGAGGTGGTTGCCTTGGATATTGTGCTCAAAGTGATACGTGGTGTGTGAATGCATGTGGGCGCGGGCAAGTTTCAACCAGTACCAGTTTCATGGTACTTATCCAGGCAACCCGATGAGGGGCGCTCGTAGTGTAAAAAAAAGTAGGTCGGAGCGAGCCTGTGTGTGAACGAGCCAGACTATGAGCGAATTCGAGTGCCAGTGGGTTTGAGTGCAAGTGGTATGAGTACACTAGAGTATGAGTGTGGGCAAGTCTGTGTATGGGATTGAATTTCAGTATGAATGGGTTTAAGTCTGACCAAGCCTGAGTATGATTGAGTCTGCGTGCGACTGTGTTGAGGTGCGCGTGCGTGAGATTATGTGTGAGTGTGAAGGTGGTTGAATCTCGATGTGAGATCTTTTGTGTATGGGTGAGTCAGAATACGTGTGTGTCGGAATCTGATTAATTATGGGGCATGGAGCGGGTTCAAGTACAAGTGTGGCAGATTTCGATAGAGTCCAGACTTGAGTGGCTTTGACTACGGGGGGTATGAGTATGCGTGAGTCTGACTATGAGAGACATGGAGGAGGTTGGCGAGCGAGGTGAATGAGGCGGAGGTGTGACAGTGAGAACACGAGCTCCGTATGCAGGATCCGTGAAACATCACCACGGGCTCTGTTCTCGTTTTCCGCCTCTGAGGGCCCTGACTAGGCGCCGTGGCAGTAAAACAATGCTTCGGCATGAAAACCCACCTTCTCTGGAAGGAGGTCCAACTTCTGGGGAGACATGTTGCGAGCAAGAACACGACGTTGGCTGTCTGGATGTCCCCAGCTCCTCGCGCCATTGGAGCCGTAGGTGCCTCTGGCCCTTGCGGGGGGCGTCCCAGATGCCACGTGGGCATCTGGGGGGATCCCGGGGGCGCCTTGGGCCAAGAGCACCTTTGGCGACACCTGGACAGGGAGCAGAAGAACAAGCTGCAGGTGCTCACGGAGGACCCTGGCGAGCCACGAAATCGGGACGCACGGAACCGCGGAGGGCTCGAGGCTCGAGGCTCCGGGGCCTTCTCTCTTGATCATGCGGGGGCCCCAGGGGGCTTCCCGTCGCCACGGCCGGATTCCCCGCGCTATCTCGGCCAACGCGCACCCCTGGACTTACCGGATTGCAACACATCCCTGTCCCTGTGTTTGGCATTACCTTACCTCGATGACGATCTTAAGGATTGTCGCAGCTTCTGAGGGCACATCCCTAAGATCGTCATCGCTTTTGGCTTGCCCATCTTTGGGATAGGGATAAGTTCGAGTTTGGTTATGGACAGGTCCAGGGATCGGGCCTGACCCTCGAGGAAGAGATCGCCAGCAGGAAGGCAGGTCCCCGAGAAGAGGGGCTGGGGCCAGCCCAGGCCCGCGACATAGCCCTGGTTGATGGGGATAGCGCTCGCCTGGGCCAGCGTGCTGGATGAGGTTGTTGGATCTTCGAGAGGTTTCTGATGGTCAATTGACCTTTTTGGTTGACATCGAGGGCCGACGTTTCGGAATGTTCTTTGATCTTGTTATGCCGCATGGAGACATCTCTCCTGGGCACCCTTCGAAGTTCTAACTGGAACCTTTCAGGCGTTGGGACTCATTTGAATCATGCTGTTTTGGCTGCTGTGGGCGTCTCGGTGGGGGGCCCCATGTCTGTCAAACAAGTGGCACGCGTGCCCTGGCTCTTGCACGTTGGAGGGCAATGTAGAGGCGCGCGGTCATCTCTCTCAGGGGGGTCCAGGGGAAGAGGCCAGGGGAGGAGGACGAACCGCGAAAGACCACGAAGAAATAGGCTTCCACGGCCCAGGGGAGCTGCCCTGAGAGCACAGGACGATTCGTCCAGAAGACAGGTGAGGAGGCCATGGGAGGAGGACGAACCACGAACGAACACGAAAATAGCAGGGTTCCGCGGCCCAGGGGCTGCCCTGGGAAGTCAGGGAGAATCACCCAGAAGCCAAATCAGGAGGGCCATGGTCCAGGGCCCAGGGAAGCCAGGACACCAGGGGAAGAGGACGAACCACGAACGAACGAACCACGAAAATAAAGAGTTCCGCGGCCCAGGGGAGCCCCGGGGGGGGGGGGGGGCAGGGAAGCCAGGGGAGGTGGCCAGGGGAGGAGGACGAACCACGAACGAAGGAACCCGGAAAATAACAGGGTTCCGCGGCCCAGGGGAGACTCGCCGTGGGAGGCCCAGGGTGGAAAGTCCAGGGCCCAGGGAAGCAGGGGAAGGTCAGCGGGTGGTCCAGGCCAGAGGAAAGCCAGGCCAGGCGGGAGGGGCAGCGGGAGGCCATGGTCTAGGGCCCAGTAAGGCAGGGGAGGAGGCCAGGGAAAGAGGACGAACCAGGGGAGGAGGACGAACCACGAACGAACGAACCACGAAAATAAAGAAGTCCGAAAATGTGTCAGGATGAAGAGCCCAGTCCTGTGGAAGGGGTCGAGAGGTTTTAATCGGGCCGGGTCACGAACGGGATAAACCGTTCCAGAGCGTTCCGGAACGCTCCCAAGGCACGGCGCCTGAGCCAGCGGATCTCAAGGATCCCTGATGTTGTCCTGATCCGATGTTGTCCTGGTCCCGGCTTTGTTTTTTTGGGTGCCCTGGGGCCCAGAGACCTGAAGGCGGCGAGACCCCCTGGAGACCTTGGGGAATTCCTGGCGACCTCCAGTTCCAGCGAGCTCGCGGGGGACCTCCTGGGGGCTGCAGCAAGGGTTGGGGGGCTAAGCACAATCGGCCTGTGGAGGTGGCCCCCCTTTGCCCACAGCAGGTTCACTTGGGCGCCTCGGCCGTGCGGGCGGATGTTCAAAATAAAAAGCGCGCGCGGACCCGCAAATTCTTAAGGAGACCATCGTTTTTTTCAACGTTTCAAAACATCATAATAAACGGGCTTCGCGCGCGCGCGTCGAAATCGTTCGAGCGCCTCTGCGCGTGCCGTCGCGATAATCCTTTTGCAAAAAGTGAGACGAAGTGCTCGCGCGCGCGTCGTCGCGCGCGCATGCCGGATTCCTTCGGACAAAGCATCGGCTTCGCAGCGGTTTCAAAACCGAACGTCTAACGCACACTCATACACACAATGTTTCGCAACAGCAGTTTTTCAAAACAGCTTACCCGCGCGCTCTTGCGATTTTTCAATAATTTCATGGTGTTCTTCCGAGCGGGCCCCTGGCGCCGCGTGCCGACATCATTCGCGCGCCCCTGCGCGCGTGCTGGGGGAGCGCGATCCGTGTCCAATACTGCCATGCGGGGCACTCTCGCGCGTCGGCCGCGCGCGCTTTTCGAGCTCTTTCCAAAACCTTCATTGCCGACGCGAGGACGCCGTCAATGCCGTCGGCGTGATCAGCATCGGCGCCCGCAGTGGCCGCGCCGTCGTCGGTGCAAACATCGTCGCCAGCATCGCCACTGTCATCGTCGTGTCTACCGTAGTCGTCGTTGCCGTGGTACCGCGCCCCAAGTCGCCGACTCGCAGTGAAGTGCCCGCTGGGGTTCGTCCAGCGGTCAGCGCCACCGCGGCCGCGTCGGTCGCGCCAAACTCGGTGGCCGCTGCGCGCGCGTACTAGGGTTGGCGCGGCCGCAGAGATGCACCAGCCGACGCCAAGCATGCATCGCAATCGCCACCGCGTGGGTTTTGCAAACCAAGTTGTGGTCGGGTGGGTTGGGATGGTTGCTAGAGCACGGGATGTGTGAACTCATGGGTCAAAACATTGTGCCGCGTAGATTCTGTCCCCCTGGGATTATCCGCCCTCTTCTTTTTTTGCAAGTTAAATGTAACTCCGCCCCATCGTCCACCCTAAATGCGAATTCCTATCAAGCCCGGCAGGCTGGCGCAGCCCCCCGCG